TTCAATGATTGAAGCTACTTAAAAGGATTCACTCAAAGTCATTTTCTCAGCATGTATCTCATGTAGGATTAGCTGGAGCTCTTGTATTTAGCTCATGACAGTCTTAGAGTCACCATTTTGAAGTCCAGAAATCGTCCGACCACGAACTTCTTCAGGCCAGCATCCTCTGTTTATACTTCTTGTCTAGTGACTCCTATAGCTCTTTAGCAGTATTTATTGGATTGTACACATTCTATAAAGTGTTGTCCAATCCATTGAGGATGTAGTTCTTGGATAGAAAGTTTTCATGCTTCCATGCATCAACAGCTCCTAGGTTGGTAATGTCAGTCTCACCCTCATCTAGCACTAGGGCAGTCTCAGTTAGGAACTTATTCATATTCAGAGTTGTAAGGTAGAACATCATTTTTTGTTGCCACCTTTTAAATTTCGCCCCATTAAATTTTTCGGGCTTCTCCCCATAACTAACGGAAACATTAGGCAAAGTAGTACTTGTACTTGCCATTCGTCTGTTATATATTAAATATACAGACCACGAGTCAATTTACAGTAATAAAATAACAACAATAATATTTAAATAATTAAAACTATAGTATAAGAGAATCCGTATTAAGATTGTTGTCCAAAATATGATCTAAGTATACCATATACTATAATATTATTCATTTAAATATTATGTAAAAATATAATGTTTATATATATATATATATTCTTATAATATATAGTTTAATATAATAAAATGAAAATTATAAGATAAAAGAACTTGATTAAAAGTCAAGGGTAAAATTTGATTCTATATCCTTAAGACAGATTCGTCCCGCTATGGTGCTAACGGATTCAGTGGCGTATATCTCCTAAGATACAACGACTTGTCTTCCTTCGGTAGTAGCACTGTAAACCAAAGGAATAAGCGAACCGGCTCAGTGTAGTACTCTCTGACTCAAACTAACTGACTTAGGCTTGAACCTAAAGATTAGGGCTCGAACCCATAGACACTTATAAAAGAAGAGAGAGGAAGAAGTTAATCCAAAAAGAGAAGAATGATTTCTGAATTTGGTGTGTTTAGCAAATGACCCCAAAGGGGGTATTTATAGGTAGCAAAGTTCCTTTTTGGGTATGAGTGCAACCATGATTCATGTTGGTTCAGTACCAGTTGCAACCTTTTGAAAACAGATGCAACTCTTTGGGAAACAGATGCAACCCTTTGGAGATAACCAAAAAACTATTTTTTGGTTTTTTTTTTTTTTTTAATAAACAGGCCTAGCCCAATTCGGTGATCTGAATAAGCCCACCAAACACAGGTCCAAATTCTAATTCTGTTTAATAAAAAATTAATCGAATTTCAGAATCAAGCCCAGCCCCAGCCTAAGCCCAAGCCGGACCGGGTTGGGTCGTGCTGGCGAAGTACACTCATATGGTAAACGATTTGGACCCAAGCTTGCCTAGGTCCTCCCCCCCTTAAAAACTTAGGTGCCCTTACTAGGCTTATTTATATTTCAAATGGTTTTAACATTTTTCCAATGTGGGACAAGAATTTCTCACATTTTGCAAACCCATTTAGGTTTATCAAACACCTCACTTTAGAGCTAATTTCTCTTTCATTCGGAAACAGATTTGAGAAAGTAAATATACCACGTTTATCTCATTGCAGAGAGGAACGTGTTTGTCTATAGATCCGCAAAAATATCTTAGCGAAATCTACTCTAAATTTCATCCAATGTTTCGGTTTTATATGCCCCGTTTCCAACACTAATACTCCGAATCCACCACAACCATCGAAAAATAATGAAGACACCCAATTCACACGCTCTGCATCATCACTGGAATCTCCCACGCGCCATCAGCTACTCATAAACAAGTTATCTTTCCGTCTGGATAACACCGTACCACCGCTGTATCGATCGACGACCTTCCTCTGCTCCGTCGGCTCCACTCCATCGAGTCCTCCTTCAGACTACCACGTCATCTTTATTTCTCGACTTTTCCGATCAAACTCCTGCGGTAACTCAATCCTCATCGTTCAAATGTTGAGTCCTACAATTTCTTCAGTAAATAAATGGAATTAATGAAGACACACATCAAAGATGGTGTAAGAAAATCGTTTGGGGCTCAATCCACTCTTTCAATTTAAGATTTATATATATATATATTATATACGCGCGTGTGTATGTATATATATAGAATTTAGGGTTTGGTGAATTTGGTTTAGATGGATTTTTTATTTCCATTTTTCTCTTTAAATCTTCCATTGATGCTTACAAACACAATGATTCTCACAAACTCACAAATTAGGGTTATATATATACTATATGTATTATATATACGTATATAATTTAGGCATGTGTTTGGGATGGGTGCTGTGGTGGGATGGGTGCTGTGGTGGCAGTGGTTGTGGTGTGGGGTCTGTTTGGTATGCGTATATGATTTGGCCTGTAAATGTGCGTTATGTCTGGTGCTGTGGCGATGGTGTCTGGTGTTGTGGTGGTGGTGGTGGTTGTGTTGTCTTAGTTTCCTAGTGAAATGGCATTTGTTAGGAAGGTTGAATGGTCATTTCACGAGTGCTTGTTGATAAGTCAAAAGGGCAAGTTGGTCATTCTTTGTTACTACAATAGTATGGAGGGAGTGTCCATGCACATTTTTAAAACTTTAAGGGATGTTAATGAAAAAAAGTTGTTGACCATCTATTTAATAACTTTGACCGGAACTTTAGAGGATGTTAGTACAATTTATTCCTTATTTTAAGAGGAGCTTGAGCCAAGGACCCCTAAATCTAAGGAGGACTTTTAAAAGTCAAAAGGCGTTACCTCTAACATTGGTAACTTTTAAATTCTTTAACTACACTTTAGGTTTGGAAAAATAAAATACCAACTCTTGAAGATTTAATCTGAAGTTTGATCCTCTCGAGTGGGTTATATTGCAGGCAACTCACAACACGTGTAAGCACGCACACGTTTATGTGCCATGAGTCATTCGATGTCATATAATCAGGAATTTCATGTTAAGGGGTACAGTATAAAATAAATAAGAAAAAATATCAATCAACATTGACAAATATAAATAGTTCAATTCAAGAGGCAAAATGATATGCTAATAAAATGAATATTATAAGAGAGATATATTTGGTAAATATGGGAATTAAAATATTGATGGATAATATTTTCATTTATTACTACGACACGAGAGAAATTTGGAAATTAAAAGTTTCGTAGAAGCTATATAAATTTATATATGTGAGTGTGTGCGTGTAAAATATATAAAAATAAATATCTATATATATTATAGTAAGTGGGGCCAAACCAGGTTCAGGGGCATGTGGCCTCTAGCCTACATTCGTTCCGCCCTCATGTGGCCTCTAGCCTACATTCGTTCCGCACTTGAGTATAGCAGAACTTGCATTGTAATGGAGTCTCATAAATTATATTATCCAATGCACATGTATTTTATGGTGCACCCAAAAAAATGAAAATCAATTTGGTATCAAATTAGTATTGTAAGTGTGACAAAGTTCGACACGATCCATTAACACGACTTGAACACAATGCGAACGAATTTGAGTTGATTTTAATAACATTTGGGTCGTACACAGGTCGACTTGAATAATTCGTTTAATATCGTGTCGTATTATAATTGAAGTAATCAACTCGTTTAGCTAAACATGTTTCATAATCGTGTTGATTAGACATAATTACCATGGATAGTTAGGTCACTTCAACATTAAGCCTAACAAAAATATACATTGCTCTTGTATTAGAGACTATTTAACAATATGGTTGGAATATTGAGCCTTATACTTTTTATAGTTTTTATTGTTTGATGAGTATTATAAATAATCTAAATATGTTTATGTTAATATTATTTAATGGGTTATATTTGAGTTTACGAGTTTAGTAAAATAATTTTAGAATGATGCGATAATCACACATAAACACTAATTGGCAGTGAGAGAAATTTAATCTGTCATTGTTAACTGGTGCGAGGAAGTACATTGTATGGTTCATGTGAAAAGATCAGACTACCCACTTTGGGTTGGACGGCCCATTATTAAAAGTGGGTCATGGTAAGTTAGTGTTCGTAATTTAAACGGAGCTATTCAGTAGGCCCATGCCTCCACACCCATAAAATGCGTTAGGTTCAAGTCGAGTGAAATGGATCCAAATGTATATGGTTTCCATGACTCCACTGGGTTCACTTAATTACCAAAAAAGAAATATAAATATGTTTCTATTTTATTACTAGTATTTTTCATTTATTATTCCCCAATATTATTAGTATATTGCCATTTGGTATACGAGTAATAAAGTTGGATTTATTAGTTTCATATATTAGCTGATCTGTCAACAGTGTTCAATTATTCTAACGAATACAAATGTGAGGTGAAACATGCAGGAAAGGAACCTTTCTCCGAACATTTTGTGATGACTGATCAAAGATATTTGTGTGTGCGTGTGTGTGTGTGTGAGAGAGAGAGAGAAAGAGAGAGGAATTTCAAGAGACCAGATTCTTGGAGATTTTGATGTGCAAAAGGGGAACACGAACGGCCCTTTTGTCTGAGATTCTTTACCAATGTGCAAAAGGTTGCAGGTTTGAAGTCTCCCTATATATATATATTTTTTTTTTTTTTTTTTTTTTTTTGTAACATACAAATAGCATCAAATTTAGATTACTCAATAATTCAACACGCACAACCAAGAAAAAAAAAAAAAATCACAACCGAGCAAATATGCTGATGTGATGTCTCAATTATAGGACTGGGAACTCATGATATTCGGGACTTTTCCTGTTGGATATCATATCAATCAGAGTCTAACATATATAAAAGGCTTAAAAGTTTACTGTCATTAGAAACGATAATACTTAATTATTTTTGCTCTCTATCATATTTAAATATCACCTTTAAATAACAATAAAGTTTTTTTCCAGATTAAACTCAAAAGTATATTTTTGTTTTGTTCAATTATATACATAAATAATGAAATTTCAGACATATAACACCAAAGGGACGGACCCTTAAAATAAGGTGTGGAAGAATAATAAAATCTTTTATAAAATTTTGAAGGGTAATAGTAGTATTCTATGAGTATATAGTTGGAAATGAGTAAATTAGTAGGATATATTAATTAAAAAAAAAAAAATCATTTTTTAAGTGGTTAGTGTTTGTGTTGGAGTTTTGCTAATGAGTTGTGTTAGGTTTTTTATTTTTGAAAATAATAAAAAAGAAAAAGAAAAAAGACACCTCAAAGTTCAAACTCTTCCTCAATGGATGATAAGTTGATAAAAACATAGACTCCATGCACGAGACAGGTTGCCTATGTTGACCCTATCTACGTGGCCCTTTTTTCTCCTTTTTTTCCGAGAAAATATCAAGTGAAAGACAAAATAAAATAATGCAATTGGAAATAAACTTGCACGAGCATTTTGACCAAAAAAGAAAAAAAGAAAAAAACATCACTACATTGATTAACATTTGTATAAAAACATCACTACATTGATTAACATTTGTATAATACGCACATATTGAGAAAGGATTTAAATTCAAAGGATAATAGAAAACTGCAAGTACTTAAGCACCTATTTCTAAATCGTGATTTCAGATCGATCCAGGCTCTGTACCTCCATCAGAATTTTCATATTAGCTAGTATCATACCACTACCTTTGCCCAAAAATCTCCCACAACATTCAAGACGGTGAGACGGCCATTGTCACCAATGAAGATGAGTGAGCTCCAGATTATGGTAGAGACCCTACAAAATGTAAGAAAAAAAATATATATTTACTTATGTGAGTACTTAACTAATGCGCGCGCGCGTGTATATATATATATATATATATATATATATATATATATATATATATATATATATATTATTCTTTTTCTCTTCAGATTTGGCATACTTGCAAGGTGTTGGGATGATGGGTTAGGAGCATTTTCGAGCTGCTTTGACTTGTGTTCTTCATTAGGCTGCTGAGACTTTCGTCGTCGACGGTTGTGATCCGCCAATTTTCTCCGGCAGCTTCGTTTTCCATTGTCGAATTCTGGTAGGACGTGAAACCTGTTTGGTGGTGTTTTTTAATTCACAAAAAATAATAAATAAAACTCTCCATATAGATTGTTTAACCAAACAAATCAGTTATATATAAGTACTGTCGATTAATTAATAATAATTTCATACTGTACTAAGTAAATAACTGGCAAACAGCAATAGCTCTTCTTTTCTTTTAATGATATAAAGATTTACGGAAGAAAATAAATAAATAAACTAACTTCTGCTGCTATATATATATATATATATATACACTACGTAGTAAAATGAAACACAATTCACGGACAAAAATGCCCTCGGATCATCCATGTACGGCCTCAAATTAACTCTGCGGCATGATCTAAGGGTATTTCAGTCATTTCATGGTTACACGTTCTCTCCCGCAATTGACGGAGAGAGAAGATAGTTGTCTGGTACTTCATCCCTCCATCCGTCGCCTGGGATTGAAAATATGAATGCATGGAGAGGGCGTTTAGGTAATTTAGCTACCTGCTGCACTTTTGGCAGAATCGCTGAGTCAACCCGGCGGCGAAGACGGTGGTCGCTTTGGAGTGAAACTCGCAGACCTTGTGACGGCGGTGGTAGTTCTTTGCATGGGTCAGATCGGCATTGCAGCCGTCAACCTGACACCTCGGCGAGTTGGCCTCGACCGGCCTGAACCGGCCGTACACCCGGTCCACGAACTCGTCCTCCTCCGTGGAGAAATACGTCCAGCCCCCCAAATCCAACCCAATCCTCGCCGTGAAATCGAACCCTCCACCCGGTTCACTCTTCGGCACACTCGCTCCGAAAGATGGTCCGCCGGTGTGTTCGAGTGACAGCATCGCCGGAGCATGAACTGGGTACGACATGCTGCTGCTGCTGCAGAGGCATGGATCATAGAGAGTGTGCAAATGGGTGTGAGTGTGTGGTTGATGAAAATGTTGGTGGGTTTGAGCTGCGAACCCACTTGGACTGAGTAGGGGTTCGTTGAAAGATTGGCTGTAGTGATCGAACATGTGATGAGTTTGGCCGGAATCTTGGGTGGGTTCGCAATCACCGGAGAGCACGATTGGTGATGGATTGATACATCGGTAGTCCAACATTGCCACAACTTGGTCATAAAAAAAATAAAAAAATCCACTTCAGGAGTAATAACTAATATGTACGTGTATAATATATAGAGAGAGAGCAAGTAAAAAAAAAAATCAGTGTGACAATGTCTTGAAATGGAACAAAACATTTACTCCGTATAACATTAAGAGTTGTGATACCGAGTTTTACTCTCATTTGAATCCAATTATATTTACGTCAATGGAGATATTATTATTGTAACATTATTTTTTACTCACGTAAAATAACCGGCTTAACTAACCTAGTATTTTCTAAACATTTTAATGCACTCATCAAATTTTCTCTAATGAGACAATTACATTGAATACAAATCATTTCAAGCATGAATGTCATTAATCAGTAATATTAATTAATGTGGTGTAACCTTTTTGGCCAATAATTAGGAAGAAGTAGAATAAATAAACTTGGAAGATAGCAAATGTTAGCAGTCTGTGTGTAAAAAACCGAAGATTTCTATCGAAAAGAACACCGAACTTGACGTGGCCAAAGCCACGTCAGATAATTTCATTACACGTAAGACGCTAACTCATTTTTCTCTCTCTTCCTCTTCGTTTCTCTCTCATGTTCTTCATCAATTCTTCTTATCTATCATCTTTCTTGAAATCTAGTGGTTAAATTTTTCCAAATTAATTATAGTTTGTGACTGGTCCAAACGTTTGGATGGAACGTATACACATATCAAAGTTTCTATTTGAGTTTCATGAATACAAAATTTGAAGGACAGAAACAATAGTTGTAGTTTTTTTTTTTTTTTTTTTTTTTTTGTACCTTCTACATTGGCAAAACATGGAAATTTTAATTTTTTTTTATCTTCAATTTTGCAAAATCAAAAGAAGAAACACAAAAATAGAATCAATTTGTGACGGCCCAAGTTTTTCAACCTTGTGCGTCAGTGATGACTCGAAAGTTGACCCGATAACGGATCCGAAATGCAGAAGTAAAAGATGAAACCATAGTCCTTTGAGATATAAATCATCTCTAAGACACTAATGTGACATTCCATAAAATCACGGAACTTAAGGAGAGCGAAAGAGGAAACTAGAGTTAAAACGGGTTAAATCCGTTAATTAAGGGCAAAATGGTCAATTCTTAATTAAAAGGAGAAAATTGACTCTAAATAAGTCAAACAAGGTGAATACAACTTAATCTAATCATTTCACAACATTTCAAGAGGTTCCAAGAACATTGGCCAAGAATCCCACAAAAATGCCCTTTCCCGGTTTAAGCAAAAATTGACCATACCTTACTAAAACATGAATAACTCCTACTATGATTGGAATCTGAAAATGGCATTAGTACCATTGGAAAACTGACTCAAAATTCTTGAGTTTAGGCTTAAGAATCACCCCATTTGGATTAGAAACGAAGAAGTTATGACCATTTGAAGTTGGAACTTTAGTGCTGAAACATAACAGAGAGGCTGTGTGAATGCAAGCTATTTTGGTTGACCGAAATAAAGTTTCGGACGACCGAACTGGACATAATTTTGCTGAAAACATGTTTTTTGAGAGGAGGTTGTTTCAGTAGACCGAAATAGAATTTCGGTCGACCGAAATGACCCTGAACAGTGCCAAAGCCTACTGGAATAAGTGATTTACTGTACAAAGAATTTTTCAAAAGTCATCGGTTGACCGAAATGGAGTTTCGGACTACCAAAACACCTCGGAAAGCTGCTGTAAAACCTGCTATATGCCAAATGTGTTGCGGTTTAACCCATGCTTCAAATCCCCTCACGAATTGGTTCAAAAATGAAAGTTTAAAATTGATTTTCAATGAGATTTGAGTATGTGAGCATGTCAACAACCTTTAAATGAATAAATAGATGTATTACAACAACTTATGGCCTTATACATGTCCATTACAAGAATTTCATATGTCAAACCTCCAAAGTTGGTTAAAATGCATTTTAAAGCAAAAGTTTGACACCAGAATACAAGTACAAAAGTAGACATGCTTCTAATGTCAAAAGTAAATACTTAAGTATCTTTACACATCAAGGAAGTTACATTAGCTTCCAAAATACCATACACCCATGGTATGTAAAAATGTAACATCAAAAGTAAAGTATGCTAAACATTTGCATGTTAATATACAAAAATACTTCAAATTGCTCATAAGCCTCTAAGGATAATGAGCATCCAAGAACATAGTCTCTTTACCTATAAAATAACCCAAATCACTAGGATGAGTAATCAAGTTAGTCGTAGGAAGAAGTATAGGCGTATATCCTAAAGTTTCAATAACATTGTATGATCAATATAGACGAATATAAGGTAGCATTCCACTTAACGTCTATGTTCAAGGTATTCTAAGGGATCATCTTAAGCTAACTTAAATGATTCTTTAACAACACATATCAATATCAACATACTTAACAACATCAATTCGCCAATAGCAAAACTTACAAGTTACAATTAAGCATTGGTTATCAACTTGGAATTGAATGCGAAATCAATTAGTGGAAAACTTGGACATCACGTCTCGGACTAAACCAAGATCAAAATGGTTATTCCGGGCATTAACCCGCTGGGAAGATCACCCTAGTGTGCACTATCTCAATTGGGGAGAACTCATACCTCCCGCACTAGAGCTAAACTCTAACCATATCACTTGTAACAATGTCCCAAGAGAATCCAAAACCATAATCAAGTTCAAAACTCATACACTATAATGAAGGCATATAAACCACCTTCCATGCACAAGTATTTTGAAACCACACAAATCACGTTTTAGGGTTCCAATTCTAAAATGACATACTAAATGACAAGTCCTCATTATGATATTATGCACAATACAATACCACCAATTTATCAATTTAAACCATGCCTTAACAATAAGCTTTATACACTAATTCTTAACATTTTAGCAATAAGCTTCTAAAATAATCACAATTTGTCATCAACAAGATTATAGAATTATCACCACCATAAATATACCAATTCAAGTCAATAGGAATTGTATATAACATTAATAATTCTACAAGAATTCTATATCACTACCACATATGAAAATACTAGAATTTAGCATACTACTAAATTATATAATCTTTCTACACATGGTATATACATATCATACATGCTTAAATCAATAAATCCTAAGTCAAAAAGTGAGGGTTTCCTATAATATGCAAGACTATCATATTAAAAGCATGTACACAATATATATTAAACCTTAAAGGATTATAAAATACTTAAAATATAAACATACTACCACTCCTACCTCAATAGAGAATTAAATCTCTATAATCCAAGTAACCAAGCTTAAAATAGGAAAACAAAACAAGGGTTTTAAAGAGGAGAGCAAGAGGAAACTTTTGTCTCCTAAGGTTTTAAGTCTAAGGTAAGTGGAAGGAGATCAAAATGAAGAAATAAGTTATTAACCAAGATTTTCTTCAATGGTGGCTAGGTTTAGGGTTATGAAGAACAAATGAAATGAAAAAGATAAAGTGTAAAATAGTGAGTGAAAGGTCTAGAAATCCTCCACTCACTATGTGTTCTTACACTACCTCACACACACACATAATGCAAGACTAGATGGTGAACTTACACTTGTCACAAATCCAAGGCTCCTTCCTAGGCTTAATCCTAAGCCTACACTTGTCAACCATCTAAGTCAACAAGTGCACCAATCCTAGGCCAACAAGTGGGTGGATCTCCACCCTCCAAATGTCAAGAGATTATGTGTCCAAGTCTCCCTACCCAAATGCAAACAAGTGGCACCATGAGAATGTGACACTTGTCACATTTTCCAAAATTTGCAAAAAAATCCTTTTTCAAAATATCTTCCAAATTAAATTGCAAAAAGGTCCCTAAGACGAAAAATAATTATTTTTCTTAATTACACTAAAACCCCAAAATCAAGAATAATTACAATAAAGTATGCATCCATACCCTTTACGAAAAAGTAAGCAACTAGAATGTATTTTCTACAAAAGTAAAAATACAATTAGCATGGAAATCAAATATCATGGATGCATGCAAAACTAGAATTAAATTCGAGCACAAAAAGTGACGTTATGTAAGGAAAAAAGAAAAACGGGAAAAAGACGAAATAAGGAAAAGACAAAATAGGAAAAAGACGAAAAAAAAAATCACCGAAAAAGGAAAAAAATGAGGAAAATGACCGGGTCATTACACAATTGAGATAATATTGAATAAAGAAGGAAAACCTAGAATTAGAGAAAACGAGGAGAGAGAAACGAAGAGGTATCTCACGCGTTTATATTTGTAGGAAATAATCTGACGTGGCCAAGCCACGTTAAGTTCGATCTCTCATTCTGTTGTTTGGTTCGGTTCTCATATTATTTTCCATAATAAAAACAAGGATACCTGATAACACCGAAAAGGAGAAGAGAGGATAACCACATCTGTAACATTATAATAATAATAACACAAAGGCATACTACTTTCCATTTAGGAAAGTACTTATTATTATTATTATTATTATTATTATTATTATTATTATTAATAGAGGCTTTTGATAAGATAATTGTTTTTAATTTTAAAAAAAGTGAAATATTGGAGTACTTTGTAATACTAAAAATATTACTTCCGTAAAAATAAATAAAAATATTAATACCACATAGATGCAACTAATGATAAGCAAATGTTTTTTCAACTTCCGTAGCATATCGCTACTCTTCTATAAATTGAAATGATAAATTTATTTGTTTTATTCTATGGTGTCATGGTTCGCAGTCGCAGTATCGTTTGCGTTATCGATCGCAGTATAACGAATTCAGACGAATATCAGTATAAATCAATCGAATCGACTGGTTCATGGAAGTGTGTAACGGCATCGAACCCTTAAAATAGAATTACGAATTGCAAATACGTGGAACCATGTATGGTGTAAACTTTCATGATTTATTCCATTTTAAACAATGATTAGTGTAAAATTAAATTTAGAAATAATTACTGTAAAGTGACTTTGAGAAAGAAAAAAAAAAAAAAAAAAAAAAATTAAGGACTTCGTATAAATTGAGAGTTCTTGCATTATACTAAAAACAAAAGTATTTGTAATTTGGGATTCCCGACCCTCAGTCATCATTAGTTATAAATATTCATAATAATTATACAATTAGAAGTATATTTTTCATTCTTTTTCAAGATCAAATTATAGTCGTATTACAAAAGAAAAAAAAAAAAGAGAGAGAGATGGCCGCATTTGGTTAAATTGCCGAGAGTTAGGTTGACTCTCAGTGTGGAATGTTTCACTCACAGAGAAAAGAATTATGTAGTGAGAGGACTGTTGCAGAGAGAGACCGTTGAAATTTTATTTTATTTTTTATTTTTTTATTTTTTATGACTTAACCACAAGGCAATTTTTGCACGACTTAACCACAACTCAATGAGAATTGGTAGCATATAATTATAAATTGTAGGGTGAGTGACCATTCCTATCAAGACAAATGAAAGGCTGTCAATTGCTGATCAAGTAACAACACATTATTATATCAACTTCCCTACCTTTGTCACATCATCCTTCCAAAATTTGATGTCAACTACCAAAAGCTTGCCCCTTGCATTACAACGCACCAACCTTGTCTTGCTATTGATGAGACATGGGCCATAACTTGAAAATAGAGAGAAAAATAATAATAATATAACTCCTAAAATCTGAAAATAATAGATAATAATATACTCTTGGATCAAAGTTGATAGTAAATTTATCAAACTTTACAGAAAACAAAATACTAATAAATTTCAGTCCGCCGTCTTCAATGCTCCCTTGGTTACTTTCATCACTAAAAGTTGTTAAATGGATTACCTGTGTCTGCAATAGGAAAGAGGTCGTTATGATTTTCCAAGAAATGGTTGAACAATACATACATATATCAACCAACAATGCACAATTTCTTTAATTCCCACCAAATTTAAATGCAATCAGGGTTATCAAAAGAAGCAGATCAGTGCTTTGCCTGCCGAAAAAGCAATTGAGACATATGCCAAAAATATATGCAAAGAAGAATATTGTCATTCCTGTGGCTTTTAATGGTGTACAAGTAAACACATCTCAATCACCTAGCGAGGAGCTCATTGAGAAAAATAAGAAGGCGTGAAATCCATGTGTATTCTAAATCTTTTCTCACCATCTCAATGAGAGACATCACAATAAAAAGGGAAGGAAGTGACTAAAAAAAACTAGCATTTTTATAAGGGATGACATCCTATCAAGGCAAAGACACTGAACAACATCTTCAACTGATTGAGCAGCCGCCCACAAAATTCTGAACAACTCAAGAGGCAGTACAAACTAAATTGGCCCATGACCTGTGATGACCCTTGTGTAACACTGTTTGAATAAGAAGAAAATAAAACATTGAGAAGGAAAGAAGAAACAGATGAAGGGCTATAATAAGTGTTCATACACCAAGGTGTCATACTTGGAAAGGGGATACGTGCAGGAGGAAGCAACTTGACACTCATAGAAATATACCATAAAATGTTTAATGTTACCTCTGTCTACAAAATGTTGACATAAGATCAGGGTTCTAAAAGTATACTCAAATTAGAATTCATGTTCAAATAAACCCAACATAAGTTATGCCGGCTGTTAAGCTACCTAAGGCAACCCTCCACCTTTTGAACAAAAATGGTTATATTTTATATGAGAAAGAGATCTGTTATGTTTGGACTTTCTCTCAGTTTGACTCGCATTAAATCCACAATTAAACATATGAATGGACATTGTAGAAAAACAAAATTACTATGATTGAGGTCCTCAAATACTTTTCTCAATGAGACCTGAGGTGTTTACTCTTAGTTCAGCATGCATAACTTACGTTGGTTTGTCTGTTAAGGTCACTAGAGATCTGAGAACACCAGGACTGATCTTATCACCAAGAACACCGCTTTCTGAAATCAAGAAGGACTTTTCTTTTACATAGCTTTGCAGCTTCTTTGAATCAAAATCAAGCCGTTCTTGATCTGCAATACATCATGGACATATATAAGTAGCCACATTAAAGCTATAAAAAAATTGTAATTATAGGATGAAAATTCCTACTGACCAGACAGAACCGAGAGGCTCGGCAAGGACATCACAGGACCTGGGCATTTTAAGGCCCGATCAATTTACAGCTAGATCTTGGGACAAGTGATTGAAGCACGGCCCAACCAGCCCTCCCAATGATTACGCAACATTATTTATAAATATATTTCATATTAAATATTCTACTATATGAAAAATATAAAACCCCATTGAAGTAAGAAATAAAGTTTTAAAGTTTAAAATGCAGCTCCATACCATCTATGCTATCATACTTTTGATGTTAGGCTGGATCAGATCAGAGCCTTAAAATATTTCTAATGGCCAGGCTTGGGTTTGGTATTTTAGGCTTGAGATGGAGCTGGGTCACTCATTTTGCCATTCCATAACGATGGCCTGCCTGGCCTGGCACCACTCTTATAGTTATGCAACTGGCTATTACCAAGTTTAATAAAGTATTGGCAAGTAAACAGTTTTGGACCTGAGCATACAACAAATTTAGAAGTGCCATAGCATTTTGCCAAATATTACAAAATAATTTTGGATATGGGTGCAACTCAGATGGATGAGGCGGGTTGAAGCGTCAACCCCAGCTCGATGTGAGGTATAATAAATGTTGCTGTCCAAGCCCGAGACCACCCCAAACTCCAACCCACCTGAGTGACCTAACCATAGCTAAACCCAAGCAGATTAAGTTTGGGTTAGCCTCAAGTTGATACCAGTTGGTCGGGTAGGGTCTTTTAAGGTTGAAAACATAAAAAGAACGAATAAACAGCGTCTCAGATCACTAGTTTTCATAAAATAAAACAAAATAAAAATGAGAAATTCATACTATACAGAGCAATTGAAGAAAAAACCGTAGTCACAATGGGGATGGAAAGTCTTTGTGCAGTAATCGCAAGATGGGTGGAAGAGAAAGATATGTATTCGCCAACTTTGGATAAATTTGCCGGCAAGCCAAGATTGAGAAATGTTGTGTGATGCAAAATATCATGAAATATAAATATCATGTTAGAAAGAAAAGGCTCCAAAAGAAAACCTTTCTCCAAAATGGTATGAGCAGCATGAAATGGAATACTAGCAAAGCCATCAGTTCCAGGGAACATCATCCAAGTGTTCTCCTTCGAATCATGGTTGCCACAAGTTGCACACAACTCCTTCACTAGAGGCCTCGACTCAGGCCCCTCAATCTCCTTCATTATAGACTCAAAAGGGGATGGAACACTTGTTTTTGTTGTCCGTGCCCTCTTCCTTAGGGCTGTCAGAGCTTCTCTGTTCCCATTCCTCACTCTATCATTCTCAACCAGCTACATTCAAATTATGCAATTAGAAAAAGTATTAAGCAAATGATTTAGTATGGTTATAAGGTTAGGATTTCAACCACCTGGTGTCTAGCTAAAAGGAGATTTTCGGCTTCTGTTTCAACCTCAATTAAACTTTCCCGGTATTGTATCATAGAATCATCCATTTAGATCTTTTACATACATCACCTGAACAATCATAGAAACAATCTTTCAATTTGCATTTGCTGTGAGAATAAGATATGAATATTTGAAAATTTTATACCGGACTTTATATGTAACCTACACAACATAAAAAGGAGATTTTTATACCGGACTTTATATGTAACCTAAAAGGAGAATTTTTCTTTTTTTTTTTTCTTTTTTTTTTTTTTTTTTTTTTTTTTTTTTAAGCACTTTATATGTATCCTACACAACATAGAAATCATATGAATAAGTACCCATATTAGAGTCTAATGCCTTGTATGTAAATATCTTCATAGTTCAAGACAAACTTTAAACTTGAACATGAATCTAGTACTTTTCAAACACTCTGGAATACTTGCCTTGAACATTAGCATAGAATTAGCTTGTATTATTATCAGTAGAAACACATAAATGTTTAAAATTTCCGGACCGTTGCTTAATGAATAAGTGAGATACACAATGAAGACAAATCACGTTAATTATGCTTCTAAATACATGTTCATATAACATACCCATTACGGGTCGTTTGGCAATGTTTGTTTTTGAGTTAAATGTTTAGTACTTCTGTTTACTAGTGTGCGCTTAACCGTTAATCTTCTGAAGACAGACAATGCTTGGTAACGTCTATTTGTTTCAAAAATTCTGTATAAAGATGACAAAAAAACATGTTTGGACTGCATTTCCGCATTTCTTTCGAAGTCAACCAATTTAAACCCCTATTTAACAGCAAGCTTCAACCATAATTGTTCCTTCCGATATATGACCATGGTACACACCAGTTTTTTGATAATTATACCGAATTTCTAACAATAATTGGTGCATTTCATTAGCTGAAACCAAACAATAGAACAAATAGAATCTCTATTAATCGATGCTTTTCATGACAAATTTGAGTAATATTTATATTTGTGGATGTGGGTGTGTGTAAATAAATAGAGATTTGCAGAGACGGGGGCAAGGTAGAAATTTAGGAATTCGATCTTACATGTATCGTCAGTGTGATTGCTTCGAGCTCCGACCACGGGTCTAATGTTAAGATCGACTTGGAACTTCACTCTGGCTCCGGCTGCTATTCAAACTCAACTAGAGAGCGAAACCGTGAGCAACCGAAGCTGCCGGCGGCCGAGTAATTGCTACAGATTCGTGACCAGGATGAGACAGAGCTACAGAACGCAAGTTAGGGTTTGTGAACGAAATGGATGGGCTCCATCTACGAATGTTGAAAGGGTTGCGGAGACGGATTACAGAGAAGAGAGAGATGGCAATAGCGATTTAGCAGGGAATGCCAATTTGGGGTTTCAATTAGGGTTTCTAATGCATTAAATAATGTTTAATAGTAATAAGGGCAAAATTGTCATGTTTAAATTACAGTGTCTATTTCACCGAAAAATTGAACGGAATAGTGGCACCTGTTTTTTTTTTTTTTTTTTGCAAAAAAATAAGAAAATAGTTTAGGAATTTATTGTAAAAATAAAAGTTTAGGGGCTTTTTGGAAGAGAATAAAGAACAGATTTTTTTTTTTACACTTTATTCGGAATAATAATACTGTAATATTATTCGGAACAGATTTTTTTTTTTTTTTTTTTTTCGCCTCGCTTTTCAATTTGGATGTGTTGTTAGCAAAGGGAACCATAATTATTTACAGAGAATTATTTTTACACGGATTTGTTGTTGGAACTTTCGTTTTTAATTGATCATTTATTTTATAAATAAATAAAGATTAAACAATGCATTACTATGAATATCACTATACTTTTTTAATATTTTATTAATAGCCAAATGGGACACATGTTTGAATTTATCCGCCTTAGACAAATAGTTACTCTCAAAATATTATTTTAATAGACATCAGGACATGTGTGTATTTTTAGTCCTTTTAGAGATGTGTACTTTTAGACCTTTTAATAATAATAAGTATAGGTGTAACAGTATTGCCCCAGTTATATTGGATTTGGATGTCGAAGTTAACCGACACTGGTTAACAGATGGTAATGAAACAAATCTTGAAAAAAATAAAAATCTTACTGTTTGGTTTTTTTTTTTTTTAAATAAAACAAATATACACCCATTATTTATTTTATTTTTAGCATGGCAAAGGCGCAAAAGCAAGTCATCAATGGTAGTAAAGAGATAAAAGTCAAACCAGATAAAAGCATATAAACTGTGAATCAAAACAAGAAAAGAAATGAAGAACAAGACTCCAAATTTATTAAGAACAAGAGTCAAAGCTCTGGAACGAAAACTACTAAAGGAGAAGAGCAGCAACAAGAATGACTTAAAGGTCTAGCCATCGTCAAGGCAACAACTCCAAAGTTACATTCACAAGGCGCCTCCGACAGGAGAAAAATCAAGGCAACAACTCTAAAACTACATCCACAAAGCACCTCCGACAAGGGAAAAATCACCATAACCCGCACAAGATCAAATCAAGTCAGAAACAACCAAAACCGATATAGAGTAGAGATCTAGTCGGAGAGAAAACAATAGATCCACCAATACAAACCGAAAACAAGCCACACATAAACAGATCTAACTGAACAAAAATAAAAATTGCGTATAAAACACCAACAGAACGAATTTATTGACACACACTGAGTTTATTGAAGCTGTGAGAGGCAAAAACGGCACCTCTCCACTCCCATGGAAGGGAGCAGAGCGAAAAACAGAGGGGAAGAAGGTTAGGGAGAAAGCATTCAGTTATCTGCAAACAATTTACCCTGCTATTTTCGAAGTACACCCATTATTTAACTACCCCCAATCGAACAATTAGAACTAATGAAGATAATCAAATGCATCATATAAAAGATAATGCTCCCTTCCAAAAACAAAAAAAAAAAAAAAGACTACGGAGTGCTCAATCTAGTTATTATTATTATTATATTTTTCCTGTCTAAACAAGCTAGTTATTTATACACTCTAAATATATTAAAGCCAAACTTTTTCAAAAATAAGCTGGCTTCCTTTTCTAAAATACTGACTTTTTCAAAGCTCTTCCTTTGAAGTGCTTTTTAACTGCTAGAACAAAAAAAAAGAAAAAAAAAGAAAAAAAAAAAAGAAATATTAGAATGCGAAAGCTACTACCATTAACATCACAAAGCCCATGAAGGAAATATCTAAATACATTGTTCTTAAGAACAATGTACACGAAATTTCAACAAGTAGCTTGAAATATACATATAGCAATCAAAAGATTATCATCAACTTCTAAGCCGTAGCTTTACCATTTCGGCTAAGTGAATTCATCAAAAGGAAAACCGACATTGTCTCCCAAAAAGCTAACTGAATAGCAAGTACTTCATATCTTGGATCAGTCTGCAAAGAGCAAGACAATCAGATAATCTGTGTTTACTGCCTTAGAAAAAAGAGTTGATTGACTTTATTACCGAAAAAAAGAGTTGATTATTTGGAATAAAAATAGAGCAGTTAAATTGTACCTCCAACCAATGGAACACTAATCAGCATCCAAGGGAGTAACATCTTTCTGCACAATCTGCTGTCACAAAATTCCTTTAGGTCATTGAGATAAATGTAGTGGAAAAGTTGTCATAAACTAATAATAACAGATCTCCAAAATTTCTCATATTCTCTAATGTAAATCATGTCATTCAAAAATTTAACCAATGTCTACAGGAATGTTAACCCTTCTGCCCTCAGAATTTAATTCTACTCTCGGATACCGTTGTGGTTGGAAGAGCAGTCCATGAATGAGAAAAAAAAGTGAATTACAATGTTGTAGACAATGCAGTATTATAAATTAACAATGTAGCCATAGAAATTGCTTACGTCAATCAAATGGGTTCAATAGGAATATTCTATGCTGCCTTTTGGGACGCTGATTGTAGAAACTTGATGGTTAGTGATTTAGTTTTAGAATATATATATAATTGCACCCTCAGTTTGAACGCATAACATTTATATGGAGAAAGAAAGCTCTCCCAAACAATTGCTGCCTCACACCAACACAATGCAAATTTACAACAGCCAAACAACTACATTTCATAGAAGTGAAGATTAAAAATGAAAGAGAACCACAAAATGATTGACCTCAAAATTTGCAAACACTACCTGTGATATGTATTCTTTAATTTTCTCACTAATTGATTCATCTAAAGCTCGCTCCGCCAGCTCATAAAACAAGGTATTGCCTTCAGGGCCATTGACTTTGTACTTCTGCAAATACCTATAGAACAGCATAGTGCTAGGTATAAGAAACTAGGTTCTATTTAGTGCACGAATTTGTTTCAATCAAAAGCACTGCATGTGAATAATCCACCCTATTTGGTGGTTCTAACCTTTGAAGAACAAGTGCCTCCAGAGCCTGCTTGATGTTTCCAAGGGCTGGATGGTTTTCATCAGTTTCACTTAATCCCAACCGCCTCAAATGATGCCAAAGACTTTCTGCAATGCATTCAGAACAACAAGGGTAGCTCTGCCATGTAAGATTCCCATGAGAAATAAAATGACATAACATGAAATAATGTTCCTTCAAATAAATCTAATATTTTAGATCGAGGATATAGCCTCATCAGGTGACAGTAAGTAGTAACCATCTGAATGTCACATTTTGCCAGGCATCCTTAAGAAATTTTTGCAAAGTGGGATGTCCAATAAACAGATGGTCGTGGTTTCAAAAAAGATTCAGGATATAACCAAGGAGTTGTCATATCATCTAAGGTGAAAAACAATAACTCTGATTCTTAGCCCCAAATTTCTCCATCCATACTGGAATTATGCTAAGAGTGAATTATTGCTTAATATGACAAAAAAACAGGGCAATCCATTTAGAAAGCATACCTTCAGGGATTTTGCCTCCAGCAAGGTGTATAATACTTATAACAACGAAAGTGAAACCAGTAAGATGCGATGTATTGACATCCTCAATATATTTTTTATACACACTTGCAGGTAGCTGACTTATGATCACATATGCTTTTGGATCTGCAACACCTGGATTACATTGTAAAAACCAAATTTAGAAAAGAAAAGAAAAAAGGAAGAAAGAAAACAATAGAAATATGTCCTCGCACTGAACACTATCTTAGATAGTGGCGCCCAGAATTCGTCTACAAAACAGTTGGTCAGTGGTTTCTCATAGAATGTATGGGATAATTTTATTATGGAATTGAAATAATTTATCAGTAAATCATTAAACAACTCCTATAAACAGCGGAACCAAGCCTAACCGTTGATGCATTACTTTTTCGAAGCAGTGCTACATTATCAAGGCAGTGTTCGTCTTAAAATGCAACTTTAACAAGGAAATTTTCTGTAAAACTAAGACTGACAAATCTTATGAATGGACTTGTCCAGATGGACTCCCTCTAAATTTTAAATTTAATTAACATGACCATGTATTTATCTTTTATAAGGGTATTTTCATCTTCATTTTATACCCTATGTTTTGACATCAACCAAAAGCAAGATCATATTTGAATGATGGTATATAATTTTGATTTGGACCTAACAATATTTGATCTGCACACTTGGTCCATATAAAACAAACAAATTTAATGTCATCGCAATGACTGAACTGAACCCCAAAAGCACAGCGGACAGAAAGGGTAACGTCTGTCTAGAATGGAAGCCACCACACCACACCAAGTAAACATACGAGTTTGTGCTACAACAGCAAGTCATATGAGCAGGAACGCAATCACTTGATGTTGATCACAACAATATGCACGTCATATAACTTTCTGTAACGCTTCAAAACAAAATGGATGTATGCAGTGTCATGTGGTGGCTTTCACAGCTTATACATGCTCCGGATCACTCTTTTTTATGATTTTTTTTAAATTAGTGATAGCTTCTCACTCTGTTGTGAAGTGCGACCCTGATTTGTTGATGAAGGACGAGCTCGTTGAAGCTCCCTCATTTCATACCCAAAAATGCTTGAGAGCTTTGCTTTGGCCCCATTGATCACAAAAGCAGGGAGTGCCCACTGCTGATAATTTTTAGTAACCAGTTGAGTAAGCTCCTCCCTTTTAATTGGGCACCCAGCATTATGTTGGGTTTTAAAAAGGACATAGCGAATCACTTCCGCAATAAGTTTGTCCTTCTCCTGTAGCAAGAATATTTTTCAAAATCAGACATGAAATTTATCCTGCTCATATCTGAAAATATAAATGAAAGTGAGGCATCATACACACCTCTTCAGAAATATCAAATTGAGAGCAATCCTCAGCAGCAGTTGCCATCCTGAAGCAAAGACATGCCATGGTATATATATTTACAAAACGTATAATGAACTCAACATGTCATCAATCTTATTGAAATTTCGAAACAATCCTAGAAACTATTTGTTGAAAAACTAAACAAACCATAAATTCATTGATTAGGTTGTAGCTTATTATTAACCACAATACAAAATCTACCACATAAAGCTGACACTCACCGAAGGAATTTCTTTCTTAATTTTAGTTTCAACACAAATAGGACAGTAAGATTTGTATTGTTGTAGCCAAAATGCCTAGGTGATTGCAGGTGATGGGCTTAATGCCTGCTCAGGTGCTCACGTAATAGTCCAAGAGACTGATAAAAAATAACAATAAAAAAAATCAGGTTCTCTTATACACATCTATTGGTAGGTAAGTCACTCACACACCCAATTTTGCCCCCAAAGGGACTCAAACCCTCAATCTTTCATTCGGAAGGATGAGAAGATGCCACTTGAGCTAGAGGAAAACATAAAATCAACAGCAGAACACAGAGTGAGACAATCACACAAGGACCTTTTTTTTAGCCTAGTTCGAACATGATTAGGACAGATGAGTTTTGTTTGTTGCCGCCAAAATGCCAGGTGATAGACCTACTTTCCTGCCCAGGTACTTACACGCCCAGGTGCTTACACAATAATCCGAGTGACTGTGTTCATTTTTGGTAAGTAGACCCACAATTGCCCTTAATGGGACTTAGAACCTCAACCTTCGATTTGGAAGGAGGAAGTGATACCACTTGAGCTAAAGGCTCAGTAGTATTAGGCTATCTTAATGCACCAAACTAGTTCAAAACTTTGTATTCCTGTCTGAAACTAGGAATTTTCTAAGGACAGAAATTCAAACAAGAGGAAGGGGGAACCAAGAAAAGGAAATTAATTTAGAAAATTGGAAAAATAGAAGAACACACTCTTCCTAGAAACACCATTGCCTTCAAGATAACCAAATGTTGCTTAAAAACACAATTTGTAATCAGCATTTGTCTTCAAATTCCAAAGATAAAGCAGTCCGATGCCAACTAGAGCATATAAGGAAAGGAAGCATGATTTCAACTTTGGCAAGAAATTTATGATGGTATGTCCAAATAGAAGTGACTGGCAAGCATAAGCCCCTTAAAATCCGAGCAAGTGTATATAAAACTATCTTCTTTAGCAAGTGTTAATTACAATGAATGTGCCATAATCCTTCACTCCTTAAATAAAATTGAAAATTGTGACTTCCAAATGCATTGCCCATATACAGTTTGTAAGTTACAAACCTAACATCTGAGCATCTGACTGAATTTTCAAACTATACAACAATAAGCATACAAATCACCTTAAAAACCTAATTTTTGTTTGGTTGCCAATAAAGGGTAGGCAAACAAGAGAACATAAAATTGTTAATTGTAAATTTGATTCTGGGTCTAGAAACCAAAAACCCCCCAATCAATTTGGCCTTGTAAGACCATAAGACTTAGTTAAGCCAGTATATCGTTCTACTAAAACCCAAAACAACAAGAATCATGAGATACCAAAAAATCGCTTTATTCTCTTCTCCTCCATTTTTCTGAGCAACTAATCAGAGGGTAAATGAAAACTCAGGTCAGAGAATCAAGAAGAGGCAAAACTCAAATAAAATAGGTAACTAAAGTGACCCAAAGCCAGATCAAATGGAATATGAAACAGTTGGATATATATATACACACACGCGCAAAAACCAGGGTAAATTTAGCTCCATTACCAATCAGTTTTAGCACAAAAACGAGAGAGAGAGAGAGGAAGGAGAGAATACCTCTACAGTTGTTTCGAAGCTGTAGCAGAGAGCAGAGAGCAGACAGGACATTGAAATCGCTTCCCGCCCACCCAAAAGTGTATGGTATACCAATTGTTCATACGCGTAATTATAGGTTAGGTTGGTAATTTCAAGTTAGGTTAACTTATTTTTTATTTTTTTTATTTTTTTATTTTTTGGCCTACAAAAATTTTCGAGTTATGTTAGGTCACATCTCTCATTCTAAATCGAGCACTGTTATACCGAGGCGGACGTCATGACAATTGTTACTACTTTTCCTTTAAAATAAGCACATTTAAAAAACCATAAAATATATTTATCGGTAACGAATTTTAAACCTAATTGTTAAAATTCAAATCAAAAGACCATAAAATAAATTTATACCATATAATTAAATATGTTAATTTAGTTTGACCGATTCATGTGATTTATTGTTAATGAATTTTACTACAAAATATTAACAGTGTTAATTTTGTATAATTTTTTTTTTAAAATAACTAGATTCACGCTTCAATATTTGTACACAATTATCACAAATTAATGAAAAACTCGTGATAAATCAAAAATTATAGTGAGATTGACCTCGTGACAGTATTACTCTAACTCAATTGAAAATTAATTAAAGATCATTTTAACTTTAACCTACTAATTGATGATATGGCATTATATAGATTTTAATGCCACGTGGAGCCAATTCATTGGCAGGTCTTCTTCTATAAGATTTAATGGGCTTGCATGCATTTGTTGAATTGTATAGTATTGCCAAAATTAGAGCTTCAATTTTGTTGCCTAACTATTTAATAGGTCATCATTAAACTGTGATTTTAGAAAGACAATATGATTCTAAATGTTCACATAGACTAAATCAGTTTTACCTTTCTATGATTCAAGAACCACTGATCATGCCAAAAGTGAACCAATCTGACAAAATTGTCAAAACAATTTTCAGAAAAGTGACCCAAACTGATAAAATTCTGTGACAATTTGGATTAGAGTAACATTTTTTTTTTCAAAAACAATAAAATTTGCACTCTGGTACAAGTATACGCCCAACAGTTCCGTATAACCCACCCACCCAAAAAGATAAATGAAAAAAGAGAGGAATAAACTCAGTTGACTTATGTACAGAATAAATGGCGGATCCTACAAAGGCTGAATCTCCAAATTACTGGATTCGGAATCTTTATCGGTGGAAGGTGCCAGAGACTCCTGGTTCATCACTTGAACTGTCATCTCTTGAACAGCCGGAGGATCCACTATTGTGGTCGTCGTGGAAGAACTATCAGTTAGATGTCCCTTCATCTCCCTGTGCTCCTGACACAAGGCGCACCAGTGCAGGCAGCAGTGGACCATGCACGGGTCACAGGGAGAGTCCTGCAATGAAGCAGCACCACAAAAGTCAATAAATAGCAAGCCATCACAAAAATTTGAAGCTCCATAACAAAGAAAGTGACACTGTATGGCTATTTCTGGGTGTCAAACCAATTTTCCGATTGATCCTGAGAAACTGAAAAGTTCAAGAGAATTGTTTTACAGCATACATATCTAGGAGAACTTGCCGCGAAACTCAAGGTAATGTCTTATTAGAAGGCATACACAAAAAGCAAGTAAAAAACACAGACACCAGAAGTATGAAAGCCCAAAACCAATTTTTCTTAATGCATGGCATCTCTAAATTCAGTTGTGCTGTGTGCTACTTGAGTTTAAAAGCAGCAGGAATTGAAAATAAAAGGAAAGGCAGCACTTACGACAGTAAACCTTCGAGGGAGTCATCTAGTAGATATCAAACTTCTATGTACAAGCACTTAACAAATCTTATAGCAGATGATGTACTGTCGAACGATTGTGTTATAAAATAAGCCGTTAAACAAACAAACTCACCCAATTTCCGCTATTCAGAATCAAGTATGCCTAGCGAACTAACTTTGAACCCCTTTTTTCCCATTTTCCTGCAAGTGATTACCAAGTTAATCATGGCATATTTTCCATTATGATGTGGTTGCTTAAGTTTCATGGGTCCCATGGAGAAACTAATCTGAGGTGACCAACTGTAAAGAATACACATTTGCAGACCAAGTCCCAAGTCAGGGCACACTCGAAAAAATTATGGCAGGACACGCACGATTTCATTAGGAATAAGTGCAGCTTAAACAACGAGAGAAAATACAATCATTGATAAGGACCATAGCATAATTCACAACCATGAATTGTTGGCACATCAGATTCCCTATCCATTAAAAGTATTTATAGATAACAGTCGGAAGTATGCTGGAGATAGTAAACCAAGAGCCTAACCAATGCCCTGCTGGCGGCCCAATCATAATGGGGAATAAGAATGTCATACATGATATGTAAAGCACATATATAAAATAATTGTGGGATTGATGATCATATATATATCACGACCAGCACCCCATAATGAAGATAAAGGATCTATATCTAAGAAATTTCTCTTAGCAAGTAGGACATAAGAACTAGAAGGGAGAAGGTATAAAAGCTTATTCATAGAAAGGCTTTCTGCCCATACAACACATTAAAATCAACATCTGTTTTCCTACATAAATGCTTTTACCGTGGAGAATAATTCAAGATTCAGAGATTATCAACGTTCATCCTAAAATTTCTACCATATTTCTATGTTTGTGTTATAAATATTCTCAAAGTAAAGTAAGCTGCTTGTGAGCATGTGTAAATTCATAAACTTATGCATGGACAAAGAAACGTTAAAGGGCGCATTTCACGCAATCTACCATTCTTCTATGAGAAATCAGCCTTCTACACCAAGAAAAGTGAAATCACCTTTAAATGATATTTTCTCTGCAATGATTCCCGAGCCATGCCATTGTAGATGCCACACATCCACCAAGCAAATAACAAACCCTCACCAATGAGAACAGATGTATGTGGATCAATGCCATGAACAACTGCTGTTACCGCAGCTAGTGCCATACCACCTTCAACACATACTGCGTGACAAACACATGCGTTGTTCCAAGGGATTTCCTCTTTCAAGCTTTCAATATTATATCCAAACAACACACATGGGCAGAACAGTCCAGTACAGCCTGGAAATGAACAAAATATTCAAGAATGCACAACTATCATTAATGCAAAGATTGACATCTATCAAATGAGACCAAAAATACGTTCATATGTACATAACATTATAAAAAATAAAATATCATTTTCTTGAAAAGGAAAATTTGTAAACTAATTTCCATACACCATATTTTACCGTATTAGCCAACAGAAGTTTTGAGCATCACCTTCAGAACAATGAGATGTAGTAATTTTAAAAACCATCAATGCAACCAACCACAACCACTATTTATTTCTAAACCATATGGATAAGCTTCTACCATTATCTAGTGTGGTTCTTGTTAATCAAGAATGGAGAAAGGTAAAATATCTTAGGTAAACCCAAGAAAGCATGAGACTTAGTTCACAAGATGCAAATATGTATATTTTTGAAGATCAAAGAAATAGATAAAAAAAAATAAAAAATTGGGTTCTTGGGATGTAATTTGAAATTTTAAAAGTCAACTTGCTAAAAAGTAAGACAATAGAACCCTTACAACTGTCGGTATCTTCAAGACAACCAAAAATCCCTGTCGTCCAATCTTCATCAGAAGGGGGTTCGTAGGTTGGAGGTAGGGTTTGCCCACATTCTTGGCATCTACGAGCATGCAACTGTCAAATAAAGTAATCAGCAATGAAATGAAATAAATCCAACAGATTATCTCTAATTCTTTGCACTTCAAATAAAATGGAAATAAAACATTCCAATTTGACAATGAATATTGGTCGGTATTTCCAATAAAACTAATTAGAACCAACAACTTTTTGCTTCTTTCTTAGCAATTTATGAATTTTATGTACATGTACCAAAATTCAGATATCCAAGCCTCAGTTTCATATAAAGCAACACCATTATTTTTTTTTAAAAAAAAAAAAAAAGAAAAAAAAAAAAAGAAGAAGAAATATTATGATTATCGACCAACCTGTGCAAGCAAACATGTACAAATTCATGTTGTCATCATAATTTTCATAGAAATATACCATCATTTTCATCATCATATCATTTTCTAAAATAGCAGCTCGTGATCACATCCAATTTGACTAATTTGTAAAAATAAAATTCTTTGCTTATAGACAATTACTTGGAAATCACTAATGCCATGTTTGGCGACATGGAATCCATGGTTTGGGCTAAAAGAAAAATAATTTAAATTGTGAACCAACATGGTCCACAATCAATTCCAAATCAGGGATTCCATGCTGTCAAACACAGCACCACTGCAATCTCAATCCAATCAATATACATTGTCATCAATACTATTTCGTAAAAAATATTCAATTTCATATCAATCCATGCAGCTGTTATCATTATCTACAACCTACTAAATTCAATACACACATATATGTACATATGTTTTAATTATTATCCGTAGATTAAACATATATGGATCTGTCTGTGGATTTATGCGTGTATATGTACACAGATTCGCATAAAGCAATTTCATTAAAAATAACTGCATATCAACCATGGTTTTAACTTTTATCAAATCAACCGTAGGTCCCACTAAATTTTGCATTATATATACAAAGATGCGCATACCTACATACAAAAGCAATAATATATGTACATAGATATATAGATATAAGAATTATAGAGAAAACAAAGAATGATACAAGAGAGAGATGAACCTGTACAACATCAATGGGTTGGTTGAGCTCTCCAGGTGTGATGTTCTGTAATGGAGCTTGTTCCTTGGTGAGCTTCACGTAAGTCCCTTCAGCCATCTTAACACTCGAATCGTCAAAAACCCAAAAGATTCATATATCTACATTTATGTGTGTGTGTGTGTGTGTATATATATATGCACGCAATATATATGTGCAGAGAGAGAGAGAGAGGGGAAGGGAGAGGATAGAGTCTAACCGCTAAAACGGAGAAACCTTCTCCAAATTTAGAGAGGGGTTTCTTTCTGAAGGTCGTTAATGGTGCAACGCCCTCGTTATTGTTGGTCATTGTAGCGGAGGAACGGCATCGTACTTATATACCTAAAGTACTAATACAACATAATTTGACCTGATTACACTTTTAAATACTGTATCAATCTAAGAATGTTTTTCTATTTTATCCTTTTCGACTTTTTATATTTTTACATTCCTGTCCATAAAAATAGATGAATGATATTATATATTTTTATTTATTTTTGGGAAGTACGGTGGGTGTATGCTAAAAGATAGATCAATATCTTCTTTTGCATGCTAAAAGATGAGATCATTATCTTCTTTTGCCTATAACATACCGTATTTAGTATAAGTATTTGTATTTCTTTTTCTTTTAGTTTGATTTTTTTCAAAAATCTAATAGCATTAAAAATAAAAATTAAAAAAATTGGAGTTTTTCAGTAGATTTGTTGTTAATAGAAGTTTAGGCCTGTTGATAGAAGTTTTGGGCCTTTCGGGTAGGAGAAAAGATCTTGTATCCTCTAATGAAGCGTCGAAAGAGAACCGAAGTGACTCGCTCTTCAAAATAGAAGTGTTCAAACCAGTGATCCTTGGTCGGTCCTTTTAGTCAAGGCTAATGCTTCTATAAATTGCCGGTCCCGGACCAGGGTGATGAATATCTCCTTTGAAAATATGAGACTAAAGCTCAATATCTTCAATGCCGCTCAACAATTAAGAACATCATTTAAATCTGCATCAACTTGGGAATGAAGAATATTGTCACGAGGAAAGCCTTTGGCGATGAGAGACTTCAACCTTAACCTTCCAGCCTCTCCTTAATATAACTTTCTTCAATGGATTTCAGGATTTTTCTTCATTTTATTCTAGATAGAGCCATGAACATCTCTTCTTCCAGTTGCTGCAACAAATAAAAGTATATAACAGCAACAACAAAAACCTCAAACAAAAAGTTAGAAGACAATAAAAACAAAAATTAAGATTAGAAGAGGAACAAAATTTAGCCTCATTAATGAAAAATTCTGTACGTCTTTTCATTCTTTCCATTCCTATATGGAACAGGACACAAAACAGACCGGTGGATATATATATATATAAGGGAGAGAGAAAAAAAGGGAAAAATACAAAGATCAAATGATTTACAATATCCCTTCATTCACCTATGCACCCATTATAGTAGTCCTCCACCTAGATTAGACCCACTGAAGCTGCTCCCTTCTATTTCAATGGCATGTAACTCCTCTGTCAAAACCATTTGTCGGAACTCCATTTCTATAAGAGATTTCCTTGCAGCATCTATCTGTTGCCGTAACTCATCCAACTCCATCTCGCGTACTTTGCGTTTTGAAACTGCAATAACTCTGTCAACCCTTTGTTGCAACCACTCCACATTATACCCAACCGTAGCTGCATCAGCTATCTGTTTCTGTATGAGCTGCAATTCATTTGAATCTAGTGTGTCCAGAGTATGGGTGCATAGTCGATCCACGACATCAGCAACCAACTCCAAAAATGCAGACTTAGCAGCTGTACTCTTCAGTATGCTCCCTAATGTAATGTCACCACACTTTGCAAAAACTTTCTTGATGATAAAATCATTATGGGGAGAGAGAGTATACTCATTCATGTCTGATACAATGGAACCCTGAGTATCCCCCGGAGCACCAGTTTCAGAAGACGCATTCTCACATGGCTCCTCTTGGTCTACTTCTACCTTATTGCCAGGTGGTGTTACCACCACATTGACTGGAACTACAGACTCTACCTCTGGGGTTCCTGTGGTAACTATGGTAGCCTCTACTGTTGGCACCATCGGCACAACAGCCTCAGCAGAGACTACCATTGGAAAGGTCACCACCTCAACTACATCCAAGCTGGTCCCGGTAGTAGACACTATTGTAGTCTCAACACCCTCCCAGACATCCCCTTTCTCATCCTGATCTTGCCTCACTATTTGAAGCTCGTCCTCCCCAGCCCCATGACTGGCAGTTTGAACTATTGACTGCTTTACTACTCTGTTCTTCACTTGCTCACACACAACCTTTTCCTCTTCATCAACTAAGCCTGCCCTGACAGAAATAGCAGAACACCCTGAACAACTTCCAGACAAGGAAGAGGGGGTTCCTGAAATGAATTAAGGATGAATTTCAACTCAATCCAACATCTAACTGTTGGTAAGCTACTGTTAAATGAGTAAAATGAGTCCTGAAAATTACTAAAATGACCTTAAGGTTAACTGCATGAAATTCTCCTGAACTATAAATAAGTTGCATGTTACTTTTTTCTTTTTTTCTTTTTTTCCTTTTTTTTTTTTTTAAATAAGTGAGTTGCATGTTACTTATTCAAAAAAAAAAAGTTGCATGTTACCCCATCGAATAAGTAGTACTCAGTAATATGCAATTTTTTTAGAAAAACATATAGCTTAGTGGGTTTTATGCAATTAATCCAAAAGGGTTATGAAGATGCAAGAAATTCCTCCTCCCTTTCTCTCTCTAGAATTCTTACATTTCAACCAAAAAAATATCCCCCTTCCTCTATCCATTACTTCTCCTATTTATAGATATTTACAAATGTTGATGGGCTGCTGGATCTAGGCCCATTCCTCTATGAGTTCTGGTCATCTTTGATGGGCTATTCGTGTTCGGCCCATATGGCAGTGTCTTTCTATGGGCCTGACTCATCTGTACGGACCGGATGTCGCGTTTGCAAGTCATATCCGGCCCATGTCACTTCGGGCCTCCTCAACTGCCCCCATAATTACCCCTTGTTTAATAAGGGGGTAATTATTGAAGGCGTCTCATCATGACGTTGACGGCTCGAGAAACCCACATGGGGGAACGGACGGTCAGATCCAGAATCAATGTTCTGGGGCTCGATGAATTTCTCGCCTTCCTGACGCTTCGGCCCTCGGGTCCCCCTCGCCTTTATAAGGCTCTAGAATACCACTTCATGCCTTTTTACCGTCTCCATCATCAGTCAAATCTCTCGTTCATGTTTTTAGAACAATGCTAAATTTCTTCCGGTGAAATCCTTCAAGAGTCATTCTTCCAGCGGTCTTGCAGTGCTCTTTGTTGCTTTCTACCTCAGAGGTTAGTTTTGTTCTTTTTTACTTTCGGCAGGCTTCTTTTTACCCTTTTAGATCCTTCAATCACTTCCACCATGGTTGTAGATCTAGATGTTCTTCGTATGAGACTTAGACTTCCTGACAACATCCAAGTTAGGGTTTGCCCTAAGGATGTTAATATTATGACCGGTGCCGGCCTTCTTCCCGGCGAAGTTTTATTTTCAAACCTTCAACTGAATGTCGTTAGGTTCCCTCTGCACCCCTTCTTTAATTATGTCTTCAATAGACTGGGGATATCCCCCCTGCAGGTAAACCCCAATTTATTTAGAATCATATCCGTTATGCTACTGTTGATTCGTGACAGAAGTCTGGACCTTGACCTCATAGATCTTCTTCTGTGTTATAAGTTTAGTAAGATCCGAACTAACGAGCCATTCTACCACCTCTACCCGATCGACAAGATGTCCATATGTACGGATACAATCAAATCTGAAAAGGGTTGGAGGGATAACATTGTGGGCATCAGTGGGGCCTGGTCTTCGCCGGCTGCAGAGGATTACCCAATCCCGAGCGCCTTTGGCGTCTGTTCTGTTTCCTCATATAAGAAATTCAAATCTCATAAAAACGATTGTCCCTGCGAAACATGCGTTCCTCGCTTTTGTACTTTCTTATGTCGCTCCTTAGGCATACCTTGTGATGACTTGAGCTACAGTGTTTGCAGGGATAGGAGTAATTACTTGAAGAAATACGTTCTGAACGATATTCCTTCTTGCTCAGACCTCCTCACTTCAGACAACCTTCTAGCGCTCTCATCCCTCGGCTATACCATGAGCAGGCGTCAGATTCCATCCTTTGGTAGGAGGAAAAATACTCCCCCAACCACTTCTGCTGCTGGAGCAACCTCCTCTCCTGCATCAGCCTCTTCCTCAGCCACCATCTCTGACACCATCCCGAGTACGGTGGCTATTGATCCTGTTGTCAGCACCCCTGCTACCAACCCGAGCGCGTCTCCACAAGTCACTACTGCCCCTGCTGCCGCTGGGGGCGCTCGGGACAAAGAACGAGGCAAAAGGCCTCATCCTGACGGTGGAGTCGACCCTGAGGAGAAACCTCTTATAAGAAGGACCCGAGTCTCTGGGCCGAGTGCTCTCTTGCATCGCCCAGTCGGAGCTTCTGCCCCCTCCGGGCCTGTTGCAGCTGGTGCCTCTGCTTCTGCTTCTGCTTCTCCTTCTCTTCCCGCTTTACCACCATGGGCTCCTCGGTACACCCGAACGGATGGGACGTTCGTGAAGCCGAACGAGACCATGTTAAAGGATGGCCAGACCGCCATTGTGTATTATAGGAGCATGTGGACTCCGAAAGACCTTGAGGCGGCGAAAGGTCTATCCCAAAAGGATGTGTTCAGCCGCTTTCCCCAATCTGCCATGGAGGTGACTTTTATTTTCTAACTCATGAATCCTCTCATACTATTTGGTCTTGCCTTCATCCGACCAGACTATCGGTTTAACCATTATTAATGTATATCTATGTAGACTTTATTCGGTATGATGGCTATGCAGAAGCAGGTGGAAATAGGGAATGCCAGGGCCCGTAAGTTCTCTGACAGCCTGGAGGTGGCCAATAAGGAAAACGACCTTCTCGCCAGCAAGAATACCGAGGTATTGGCTCGGCTTGAAAAAACCGAACAAGAAAGAGATGTCTTGAAGAAAGAAAACGACTCTCTTCAGGATGAGAAGGATGCCCTCCAGCTTGAGAAGAGTGTCTGGCAGACTGAACGTGATTCAATCAGAGACGAAAAGGCAGAGCTCCAGTGCCTTCTGGCTGATGAACAGTCTGCTCGGATGGCTTTTGAGAAAAGAGCTCTGGACGAGCGCAATGCTCTGATTGATACCATCAGCAGAGTGAACGGTGGAATGCTGGCTCTTCATGCTCGGTTCTCAAGAGTCGGAGCTCTTAGATATGCTCAGGGATTCCGAGAAGGTTTCTCCGACCGAGTTCCGGCTGAGGGACAGACCAGCTCAACCCCAGATGAGGTTGATAAGGATTTAGGGATTGATCCTCTGGGGGTCTATGTTGACCTAGAACCCACCGAAGCGGAGCACATATTTGATGAATGTCAGGATATTGCTTCCTCTAGGATCACTACAGCTCCTCCTACCGTTCCTCATTCGTCAACTATGGTATCTCCCATAGTCACTGCTGACGTTGTCCCCCAGCAGAATGACTCTGTTATTCATCTTGATTCCCCACCTCGTGAGGGTGAGATGGCTGACGGGACCGAGGAGGCAGATCGGCACAACCAGGAGGCTGTCGGTACTGGGGCAGCTAGCTAGGACTCCTCCAGACTCTTCGATTCCATACTTTTTTTGTAACAATGTGACTTGAGTACCTCATTTTTTGTAACTCCAATGCTTATCATGAATGAGATGACAGAACTCTTTTTTCTCTTTTTTCTTTGTGTTACGCTCTGTTCAAACCCATTTTCAATATATATATACTTTTTCTTTTCTTTTTTTTTTATATTAACTTTGTCGTGTGCGTGTTTATGGCAAGTGCCTGGCGTTCGGCTTATGGTGCCAGCTGCCACTTATCTTGCTTAAGTGCCTGGCGCTCGGCTAGAATGCCACTTGCCACTTGGCTTTTTATTTTTTAGCAAGTGCCTGGCGTTCGGCTTATGGTGCCAGCTGCCACTTATTTTGCTTAAGTGCCTGGCGCTCGGCTAGAATGCCACTTGCCACTTGGCTTTTTATTTTTTTTTTTTGAAAACCCATTGAAAAGGAAAGTTATTTTTATAAATTTCAGGAATTTGCACATTCATACGTACTTGATTGACAACAAACAACACCCAATAAAGCCGAAACTTAGCTTTTATTGGTAGTACCTCTTCAGAGACATGGCATTCCAGGGCTTGCTGACCAACCTTCCCGCCATGGTCTCTAACGTATATGCTCCCTTCCCTATGACTTCTGCAATTCTGTATGGGCCTTCCCATGGTGGCATCGTTTTTTTGACTATCCCCACCTTTCTTTTCAGAACCAGATCGCCAGGGGCAAAATCTCTGTGCTTCACTATTTTGTTGTGACTATTCGCCAATACTTGCTGGTATTATGCTAACCTTATTGCTGCAGCGTCCCTCTTTTCGTCTATCATATCGAGGTTCAATCTTAATATTCTGTCGTTCTAATCTCGACTCCATGCTAAGCTTCTGATAGTTGGGACCAAGTGCTCAACCGGTATAACCGCCTCGGTACCATATGCCATTGCAAACGGGCTCTCTCCAGTGAGCCGCCTTGGGGTGGTCCTGTAAGCCCATAGGACGTTCGGGAGCTCATCCAACCACTTCCCTTTATGGTTCTCCAGCTTCTTCTTAATGCAGGCGAAAATTGTTCTGTTTGTGATTTCTGCTTGTCCATTGGCCTGAGGATGACTTACTACAGCCAACTTCTGATTTATTCCATACTCCTCCAGCAGCTCTCTTACTTGCTTGCTGTCGAGGTTCGTGCTATTATCCATGACTATTGACCTTGGAACGCCGAAACGGCAGATAATATTGCTCCAAATAAATCGTCTCACATGAGTCTGAGTCACGCTTGGATATGGTTCTGCTTCCACCCACTTAGTGAAGTAATCCGTGGCCAGTAGCACATACTTGTTCTGAGCTCTTGCCGTTGGCAGAGGACCGACCACATCTATCCCCCATTGCGCGAAAGGCCATGGTGAGGCCATTACGTGCAATTCCTCAGGTGGTTGGTGGATCAATGGTCCATATCGTTGACATTTATCGCACCTTCGAGAGAACTCCTCCGCATCTCTTGACATGTTCGGCCAGAAATACCCTTGTGTCATTGCTTTATGCGCTAACGATCTTCACCCAGAATGATTGCCACATACGCCTTCATGAATAGCTCGCAACACCTGCTGCGACTCTGCGGGGGTGACACACTTCAAGTATGGGCCAGAGTAGGACCTTCTGTACAGCTGGTTATGCACGATGGCGTATTTTGCAGCATTCTTTTTGATTTTCCTAGCTTCATCCCTTTGCATAGGCAAAACGCCATCT